GCAGTAATGTCATAGCCAAACTCGCTAACATATTTTTTTTGACATTTGCTGATAAAGATGTGTTGGATGTTGTTTTTCTACCAAAAATATGTTCCACTCATTCTGGCAAGGAAGCCAGCAGGGTCACTGTTCCACTCTGCAGTTATTCGTGGATCAAGGCTGATGCAAATGTGGACTCGAGTCAGGAAAGAAAAGACCCACCTGGACATCTGCTCTGCCTTCTACTCCAAAGCCTAGTGTCTGAAATTCAAGGCCAAGGATAAAAGTCTCACTTGCCGTGTGGAGACCACAACGTAGTCCCAAGCTTAGGACCTGCCCCGAAGGCTGAGCAGCATGGTGACCTGAGGTCCTTGCGTCACCTGGCTGTGTGTTCAGGATGTCACCCCTCCCCTCCAGCGAGCCAAGCCCAACGGCAGAAACGGTACGTGTGGTGAAAGGCAGGATGGCCCGACAACCTAGGACCCCAACAAGCCACTTTTGAAAGAGCGCACTAATGGTAATCATGCCAGATCAACAGGTGTGCGTGGAGCCTGCTGCAGCCAATCTGGGATGCGTGGCCACACCAGCAGGAGGAGAGGTCATCAGGACGCCAGTATTTTCTCTTTAAGAGGCTTGTGATTACTGTCCGCTTCCACTTGAAAACATTTATTGCTTTCCCGAGGCTCTACCTACAGGGCTGCACTGTCTGGAAATGATTTTGATGGTGTATTCTGGGGGCCAAACAGACTTGTTGAAGAGAATGTGCTCATAAATGGGCAGCAGTCACTACAGAAGACGTTGCACTTCCACTTGCCTTCCCAATGTGGTTAGAGGAGATTCTAGAATTAGAAAAGAAACCAAAAAATGAAAGACTTGCCCTAAAGGTTTAATTCTGCCCTTCGGGGAACAAATGTACAAAGTGGTCCATATGTTCGTTAAAAATGTTCTCCATCAATCTTGTGCCACTTGTCCATTTAGTCTGTGTTTGACTGATGCTATCTTATTTCACTTTCTGAAAAAGTTGCTTTATCTCTAGCCTAGAAAGGTTGGTATGGGATTTCAGACAACTCCATGATGTAGGGATTGCCCATTGTCCCTGCCGGAGCACGGCTTACTCTCCGACACACATCATGTTATACTTTTGTCTCTGTGTATTTGAAATACCTGTGATGTATCATCTCAGAGAAAAACACAGTCCCTTCAACAGCCTGGAGAAGAGGGCCCGAGCTGCTGCAGGAAGAGAGAGGGCTGGGGCTGGGGCTGGGGCTGGGGCTGGGGCTGGGGCGTGGAGGAGGGGGAGTATAAATACAGTGAAGGCCTGGGCAGAGCTACAAGAAATACTTAGCATTCTTGGCTTCCCACAAAGGGTAGGTCAAGGAGAGGGAAGCAGCACTTAGGATGGAGCGTACACCACAACTATTCTTTCTCGGGCCTCATCCAGTCCACTGTATCACATAAATGTCCCCAGTGGGAAGGTGCTGAGTTTATTCCACCATGTGGCAAAGGCTCAGCATAATTACACACGATGCCTATCTCTGGGCGGTGCAGGATGGGGTCAAACACAGCATCAAAGACACAGCTGCTGTGTGAAATCCACTTTTGCTAACAACCATCAAAACTGTATTCAGAATGCAACATGTTTAAGGGATTGAACCCTCAAGGTTGGGTTCCCTAGGCCCCAGAACCATGGCCATTTCTTTAAGGTGTGTCTGCAGGCAGTCTGTTTCAGAACCCCGATGTCAGCTTTTGGGGTTGGGTTTTGGAAGAGGAGCCACACGTGCTCAGTGGCTTGCCTGCAAAGTAATTTGAAGATGTATTTTTTTTTTCTCTGAAACTTTGGAAGGGAAAAACTCCTCCTCATCATTAATAATGAAAACAATTGTAACATCCCAAGTCAAAAACAGCCATTCAGTTAAAAAGAGATTTGGTCATGACAGGCTTTCTCTCTGCCCAGCCTGGCTGGTCCTTTTCAATTAACTCAGGCCCTGCTGTAGGATCTATAAAATGCTATATTGAGACTGTTTCCCCGAGTTCCCAGCAATGAGAATTTCCGGCTACTGGAAACACTCCCAGCCAGTGTAAACTCAGTTGTTTTTCTTAATTTGAGTCTCTGGTTATAGACCAAACAGCAGAGCTTACTTGTTGTTGGGCTCGAATGCCCTCAAACACTGCAGAGAAGTTGGGATGACATGACAGCACCCTGGAAAATGGGACACCACGATGGAGGGTCAGCAGGTGGACAGATGAAGCATCAACGTCCTTTGGGAGCATGCAGATGTGCAGGTTTGGGGTAATAGAGTAGAGAAAGTGCCTCCTATGGCAGGGCCCTGCAGCAGGGTGGTCTTCATGCCCCCTCATCTGCTGTCTCCATAGCCCAAATGGAAATGACAGTTGAGTCATTGACTTTGATACTTAGCAAGAATTACATTGGATGAGCCTTTATTTTTGCATTATTGAAATGCATAAATGAATAAATACCCTTGATATAGTGACTATACACTTGGATTTCCCCAGAGAGCCTTACTTTTACATATTCATTTGCTCCTCCCAGAACCATGTCCCCTCCATTTTTGGTTCAGAAAACGTGGTTGCAGAAACCTTAGAGCATCTATGTATTTTAAAAAGAATCAAGGAGCAGGAGAGAAAGCAGGGGTGGACCTTGTTCAGGTAACATGGCAGGAAGTTGTATGGTTAGTATGTTTAACTTTCACAGTGGTTGGCGTTACCATGCAAATGTGATCAATGAGAGGACTGTAGCTCAAAGAGGTACAGCAACCTGCCCAAGATGCTGGTGTGAGGGAGCTTCGGAGAGGGTTGTAGAAAATGGAATTAAAAGATAATGCATATTTTTTTTGACAGGCAGAGTGGACAATGAGAGAAAGAGAGAAAAGGTCTTCCTTTTCCATTGGTTCACCCCCCAATGGCCGCTGTGGCCAGCGCGCTGGCGCACCACGCTGATCTGAAGCCAGGAGCCAGGTGTTTCTCCTGGTGTCCATGTGGGTGCAGGGCCCAAGAACCTGGGCCACAGCAGAGAGCTGGACTGGAAGAGGAGCGACCGGGACAGAATCCGGCACCCCGACTGGGACTAGAACCTGGTGTGCTGGCGCCACAGGTGGAGGATTAGCCTATCGAGCCATGGCGCGGCCCATAATGCATATTTTCAAGACCGTTTATATTCATTAGTGTTCTCCAGAGAAACATCTGGAGATAAGTAGTTTTTTATATACATACAAGGAATTTGGAAGTGGGAAATCTGGGGACTGAGTGGAACTGATGGCATAGTTCTAGCCTACGGGCTGTGGGTTCAAGACCCGGGGGTTGGGGGATGGATGTTTCAGTTCAAGTCCCCAATCAGGAAAAAGCCAATATTGCAGATTGAAGGCTGTCAGCAGGGAACATCTCTGGTGCTTGGAAGATGGTCAGTCTGTCTGTTCCATTCAGGCCTTCAACTGGTTGGATAGTCCACCTACACTGGCACTGGCACTGTGGAACAGCCAGGTAAGCTGTTGCTTGCTATGCCAGCATCTCATATGGGATGACCTGCTTGAGTCCTGGCTGCTCCGTTTCTGATGCAGCTTCCTGCTAACACGCCTGGGAAACAGAAGATGGTCCAAGTACTTGGGTCTCCACCACCTATGTGGGAGACCAGGATGGAGTTCCTGGATCCTGGCTTCTGCCTGGCCCAGCCCTAACTATTGCAGCCATTTGGAAGTATACCAGCAGATAGAAGATTGATATCTCTCTCTCTCTCTGCTTTTCAAATAAATACATCCTTTAAAAAAAAAAAAAGCTCACCTACATTAAATAGGACAATGTGTACACTTAAATGTCAATCTCATCCAGAAACCCAAGAATAATGCTTGACCACATATCTGGGCACCCTCTGGCCCAGGCAAGTTGACAGATAAAATGGACCCTCTCGGTGCCTGGTTATGACATGATTAAACCAAACTTCAAATCAATCTCTCTGATGCCAAAACCTGGATCCTTCCTACCGTGGTATCAGTTACTGGTGGTGTTCTCAGGATACGCTCATTTTTAAGGATAGAAGATTTATAAACAAAAAACTCTATATGAGGATGAGAAATAATGTGGTACATTGTGATTAATGAGCAATCATGTCCATCAGGCAATTACCCTCTGATGCAAAACGTGGACCAAATGTACACTCAAGTTCTACTACCAGTAGAGTAAATTTCTTTTCCTTTTATTTTTTCAGAGTAGGATCCCAAATGTGCCACAGACTGGGGCATCATTTCTCCCCACATTTGGGCTTGTACTCAAAAGAATCAAGATGCTAAGACACTGGGCTCAGGAGGTCAAGCCCTTTTTCAAAGCCATGCCACCTGCTTGTGTGTGGCCGAGTGTAGCGAACATGAAAAGGGAGCAGAGAGCTTGCCCATCACCAGCCAGGGAGGCCACAGGGCTTTACAGCTCCTGCCAGCCTGGAAGCAGCTCCCATCCCATAGAGAACTGCTGCAAAGCACAGCGCTGGAACCTGCTGAGGCCTCTACACCCCAAGTGTTTACAATCAAAGGGCATGAAACAGGGCTGCATAAGAGAAATGCCAGATGATAGGTGCAAGAGGTAGGGCCAGGCTGTTCCAAGGGGAGAGATAGCACTGCACCTAATGGGGAGAGCAGTGGAAGTGCTATTATGCATAGACCTTGAAGTATGTGTAGGAGTCCAGCAGACAGGGCTGGGGAGGAAAAACAGGAGCAAAAGCACCCAGGAGGAGAAGCGGGGCTTTCGAAACAGCAGGGAGTCATCGCGCTTGTCTGGATTGTCGACTATGTGAGAGGGAGTAGAAGGAGTAAGACTTATTTCTGGGCTTCAGTCACACATAAGATTAATCACTTTTGGCTGTGTACCCTGAGGAGGACCAGACACCCCCGTCAGCAGCAGCACTTGCTCTGTGGTCAGGCAGTGGAGCTGCTCTCCTGCGTGTGCGTGCAAGCGAGGAGCAGTCCCCGGGGAGCTGCGGTGGCTTCCTTGTCCAGACATCCGGCCTGCTTGTGCGGATGCGGCTCGTTGGCCTGCGGGGCTGGCCTGAGGCTCCTCCTGACCTCCTGTCCCCTCCGTTGTCCTCCCTGGTCTGGCCCATCCGCCTCAAAGCACAGATGCCCTGGGAGAGCCTAGAGCAGCCGTGCACGCAGGCTGGGGACACGGAGGAGGCCACCTCCCACAAGGGCCCTTGGTCTCTCAGGTCCCCAGCTCCTGGAGTGGGAAGCCAGCACTGCCCTCCATCTGGTTCCAGGCAACAATTAGGGCTGCCAGCGACCCCCATCAATCAAGCTAGAAGATGTTTACCCTAGGGATGTGGTTTGAGGGCCAGTCTGAGGTTGAAAATAAAACAAAACAAATTCGGTTTCACTGTGTCCTAAATTGTTGATTTCTGAAGCATCTTCTGAAAGCATACGAGGCGCAATTGCCCAAGGGCCACGTCCTCTGAACAGAAGTGTGCATGTTAAAAACCCGCTTCGGCTCTTTCCTCATTTCACTTCCTGCAGGAACAGCTCCCAACCAGCTCCAAACTCGCTCCCGACTTCTCGGCCAGGAGGCCTGCCACATCTCAATGCTGCCCAGAGCCTTGTTGGAAATGCAGATACCGGGGCCCGCCTGAGTCTCAGGGAACGGAACCATGGTCCCAGTCTGAGGGCTTTTCTTTTTTACAGATTTTCCCCGGGTAATTATTATAGCTAGCCACAATGGAAAATGAACGTGTTCTAAAAATTCCTTTCATAATTTGTTTTCTACATTTACATTTTTCTACCCACTGCACATGAGACTTTCAGGAGTTAGGTGGGATCTCAGAGGTGCATTAGGCTAAGTCTAGCACATTCTAAACCCATAGTAGTGGGAAGGCAATCTGGGAGCAGGTGACAGAGGGGCAGTGTTTCCCAGGCTGGTCTGACTGGATACCATCAGCTCTTAGGGTATAGGTTAGCATCTCACCGCCTTAGGAACAGGAAGTGGGAAGTGCTGGCCTAGCTGCACCCAGCCTGACAGCACATGGGTGTAGACTTCCAGCCTCCCTGTGCTGCCCGCAGATGACCACTTGAGAGAGAAGATGTGTGCAGAGGCCTTCATGCAACACCATGCTGTAAGTGTATGCACTTGGCCGGGTGCTAGGTATTGCTCTGAGCCCAGGCCTGCAAAGAGCATCCTAGAATGATCGAGGAAAGAAGGCCTCGATTCTCCCACTGGTCTTGGAGTGTGGACCTCAAGAATGCTCTGAACACAGCTTTCCTGTTGGAGTCTGAGGGACCTAGAGCAGGAATCATGCTCCAACCCCAGGGCTGTCTGGGCTGAGGACCTCCGTGTGTGGAAGCAGGGGCAGGAGCCCCAGCAAGGGGAGGATAGAGGATGACAGTGCGGAGCAGGAGGAAGCTGAGAGGGTGAGTGGAGGGATCAGGCCACTCGGGTTCCTCCCTGACCCAGAGACCCGGCTGCACTGCCCACCGGCACCTGACGCTGGGTGCATCCATTAAATGCACTCTTCCTCTAATGAGGAAAGTTATTTGCTTGAGGACCTCAGGAAAGCCAGCCTGCTGCCTTGTGCATACAAATTGTTCTGTTTTTTTGTACAAAGAAGGGCGGACTAAAAGTGACACAGCAGATCTGTCCATCCTCACAGGAGAACCGCCCTTAGCCATGGTCTCCTAGGCACGCCGTCCCTTGTGATAGCCGCAAAGCTCTCTGGCTGCCCGGAGCTGATCCCCATCCCTCCTCAACACGCCCGGGAGAGACACTGCTGTCCCCTCCCCAAGCACTCGTAATCCATTTACTTTCAGATCCTTGCCCAGAAATCTCCAGGAACCCTGACCAGGCCCTGAGTCCCCGGGCCCAAAGTTTTTGTAGCAAGGAAAGCCATTCTAACCGGAAACTTTTAACAGCAAATAAATAAAAGTGGTCCAGGCTCCAAGTGGCCCAGGCAGGGCTACCCCACATGGAGCCGTGAATATCACAATAGGTGATTGTTTTAAAATGTTTTAACGAGTCTCCAAGCATCCTACATAATATCAGCCTCCACTTCAGTCCCCTTGACAGGCCCCAGTAAATAACAGGAGTTGACAGGAATAAAGCAGCTTGCTCAGGAGTAATTGAGTGGAATTAGAATGAACAGACAAGAGAGAGAAATTGGCACTCGGGTCACAAGGACTTCTTTGTCAGGAGCGCTCGGGGGGTATTTGGTGGGCTGTGGTCTCGCTGACTAATCACCAGTATAGAAAGTTTACAGTCTCTCCACCATGCCGACGTCTTTAATAATGTGAAAAGCACAGAGGTGGCTGTTAATTTCAAAGACAGTTACATGAGCCTTTTATTGAGTGTGGCGCAGAGTGTACAGTTAGCAGCCTGTGAGATAATGGGGGCTTTTTGCGCGGGGCTTTGGAAACCCAGTTTTATTTTCACTTGGGCCACAGGAAGAGGGATTTTCTTCTGTTAAGGCAGAAAACTGCATGTTATTCAAGACGCGCCCTCTACATCACAGACGGCCTTCTGCTGGGCCATGCAGCTGTGACCATCCAGAGGGACAGGGAGGAAGGGCACTGGGAGGGCCTGGTTGCCCTGTGGACACTGGCCCTGGGGACTTCTCTCCGCACCCCTGGCTGAGAATGCTGGGAAGAGGCGGAGTCTGCCCACGCCCGGTCACGCCACAGCGTGCGGAAGCCGGAGGGCACACCGCGGGGTTCTCGGTGTTAAAGAGACAAGAGGCACGGAAAGTGCCGGACTTCACCGCTTCCCCAGGAGCCGGACCTCCAGGGACCAGAGGCCATGTGCGAGGAGCAACGTGAGTGCCGGTGGCCTCCCGGGCCTACAGCTCTTAGCCTGGCCTCTTCTCACCTCTGGATGCTGCCAATCAGCAATGGGCAGAAGGGGCCGCAGAGGGGTCTGAAATCCCCGCTGTGTGATGATGGGGGAGGGGACCATCCTCCAAGTCATTCTCCTCCCCCCTTCCTTCCTCTCTGCCTCCTCCTCCTCCCCGCCCTTTTTTTTTTCTCTCCATCGGTGTGTACAGAGATGGTGACAGACACCTTTGCCTTGCTCATCCTGGGAATTCCGTATCCCTTACCTATGGATCATTGGTCTATTTAATATTCGTCAAGCATTGTGCTAACAGCTGGAGATATAGGGTGAAGCTAGACATACACCTCCCCCCTGCCCCCGCTTGCTCTGAGATATCTAGGCCAGCTGCCTCCCCTACCCAGGCCCCAGCCAGCCGTGGACAAGGACAGTCCTGGGAGACAGGGCAGGTGCATCCCAGCCTTCACTCTCCCTTCCACGGCGAGTCTGCTGTGACTCACAAAAATGGCTTTGGCTTACAGGTTCCCTGGTCTGAGACTCAATAGGACCAAATTGGCCAAGGAGTGAAAAACCCAAGCCTAAAAGCAGACGTTTTCTGAGGCAGTCCTGGGGAGGAGGGGGAATAAGGTAAACAAAGAGATTAGTTGTAGGAAAATGAATGATTTCCTGCCTCTGCACTGGCAACAAATGCAGCTTTCTTGTTACCTAATTGTCTTGTTGGCAGCGCCTGCTCTGCCTTCACTCTAGGTTGTTTCCAGACTCCTTTCTCCCTTGACACAATAGGGGGCCTTAGTCCTTTCCAGGGATTGCCTCCACAGTATGCGTCAGGTTTTCCCTTCTCCTCAGGAAGCGCCTCGTAGCCCAGGAAGGCCCTGTCTAGAATTTTTGGGATCTTGTGAGTCCTGGGTGAAAGCTCACGTCTCCAGCAGTTCAGGAACATGCTGGAAGCTATGTCCATCCGTCTGTCCATCCGTGGGAGTCTGGAATGCCTACGAAGGCAGTTTGCAGCCCACATTGTGCTGGAGACAATCTCAGATTCTTTTTGGCCTGGGATGCTCAAAGAACCCAGAGTGGGGAGTAGTTTTAAGAAATGAAGGAACTACTTCTTTTAAAGCTATCAGGAAGTTAAGGGTCGCCAAGTGGTAAAGTTACTTTTACAAAGGTCACAAAGAAAGGGAGATTTTCGATGCATTTTGAAGTTTGTACACTTCTTAATTTTTAGTGCTTCCTAGTGCTAGCAGTGTCTGGGAAGCACCCAGAAAGCACATTTGAATGCAGATTGCTGTACCCTACTTCCCACCCTCCACCCAGTGAAAGTCTGGTGTGGAGTTCAGGAATCTGAAATTTTAACAAACTTCCAGTGATTCTTACATAGTTGTGCCGGTGCCACCACGGATGAGTAACTACAAGGCTGCTGCCCAGGGGTTGCCGCTGAAGAAGGGACACTGGAAGGACCAAAGATGGGAGTGTTTTGGAGAAGCTCGTGTCTTTCCTAAGAAAAACTCCCAAGTTGAGCCAAACACCCTCTTCTTAAGGACACCAGTTTGCTGACTCACATCCTTGGAGGCCTGGTCAGTGGGCTCCTAGCAGCCTTCAGAGATGCAGTCAGTATAGTGAGGAGTGTAGGAAACGCCAGTGCGTGGCAAATGCCATGGCTGGAGGATGCTAGTAAGGGTCCCTGGAGATGCCCTGTGGCCAACCTGAGCAAAGGAGCTGGAGAAGCCATGCCCTACAACCAAATAATCTTTGACAAATGAGCTAAAATCAACATCCAGAGAAAGGACAGTCTATTCAACAAATGCTGCTGGAAAATTGGATCTGTGTATGCAGAAGTATGAAACAAGACTCTACCTTATAAAAAATCAACTCAAGATGGATCAAGGATTTAAATATACCACCTGATACTATCAAATTGCTAGAGGAAAACATTGGGGAAACTCTTCAAGATATCGGCATAGGCAAAAACGTCTTGGAAAAGACCTCAGAAGCATAGGAAATCAAAGCAAAACTAGACAAATGGGATTACATCAAGCTAAGAAGCATCTGCACTGCAGAAGAAACACTCAACAATGTGAAAAGGCAACTGACAGATGGGATAACATATTTGCAAACTATGCAGTTGATAAAGAGTTAACATCCAGAGTCTAAAAGAACTCAAGAAACTTAATAAAAAAAAAATCCAGTTAAGAAATGGGCAAAGGACATGAACAGACATTTTTCAAAGGATGAAATTCAAACGGCCAACAGAAACATGAAAAAATGCTCAGTAGCACTAGCCATCATGGAAATACAAATCAAAAACAGTGAGATTTCACCCCACCCCAGATAGAATGACTATCATCCAAAAATCAAAACCAGTAAATGCTGGCAAGGATGTAAGGGAAAAAGCTTACCCTAATCCACTGCTGGTGGGAATGTAAGTTAGCACAACCATTGTGGAAGACAGTATGGAGAATCCTCAGAAATGTGAAAATAGAGCTACCATTTGACCCAGCTATCCCACTCCTAGGAATTTGCTGAAATTAAATGAAATGAGCATATAAGAGAGTCACGCTCCCAAATGTTTTGCAGTTTACTTCCAAATAGCTAAGGTATGGAATCAACCCAGATGTTCATCAGCTAATGACTGGATAATACTATTCACCAATAAAAAAAATGAATTCCTGTCTTTTGCAACAAAATGGATGCAACTGGAAATCATTATACTTAGTGAAATAAGCCAGTCCCTGGAAAGCAAATATCCTGTTTACTCTGATATGTAGTAGTCAATATAGAATACAAACAAATGGATAGGAATGGAATGGGCATCTTGTGATTTGATTGTTGCGTTTAGCCCTTGTTCATACTCCTGTAGAACTGTGTTCTTCCTACTTTTTACTTGTTGAATATTATGGTTATTGTTACATTAAGCCTGTGATTATAGAGTGGACCATAAATATGTTTTGGCAAAAATTAAAACAAAAAAAGAATGAAAAGAAGGAGGGGATTGAGGGAAGGAAAGGAGGAGTAAATATGGTTTTCTTCTTAGAAGGGTTCCTATTAGATACATGAAATCTGGGCTCTTTATATTAATAGAATATTAAAAGAAATGTAAATATGTAAATCTACCCCCCAAAGAGGTGGGTTTTTTAAAAAATGTGATTGAATTTTAATTTTATTTATTTGAAAGGTAGAGACAGTTACAGACTGACAAACAAAGAGAGATCTTCTATCTACTGATTTGCTCCCAAATGCCCACAACAACCAGAGAGGGCCAGGCTATAGGAGTCTGGAACTCCATCCGGGTCTCCCATATGGATAGCAGGGACCCGAGTCCCTGGGCCATCAGCTGGTGCCTCCCAGGGTATACGTTATCAGGAAGCTGGAATCAGAAAAGGAGCTGGGACACAAAGCCAGGTACTCCAACATGAGGTATGGGCATCCCAAGTGGCACCGGATACCTGCCCTGAAAAGTAGGTATTTCTTCAGTACTGAGGCTAGATCAAGCCTCCTCTTTTTGCCCTCAATGTGGCCCTTGCCAGGGGTCTTAGTCCATTTTCTATTGCTGTTACAGAAAACCTGGGCCTGAGTGACTTACGAAGGAGAGAGGCTTATTCTGGCTGATAGTTCTGGACTCCAAGAACTTGGCACCAGCATCTGCTTGGCTTCTTGTGAGGGTCTCCTGTGCTGGGGAAATGGGAGGGCGTACAGGTACAAATGGAGACAAATCACACAGTGAGAGGGGAGCAAGAAAAACCGAGGAGGCTGGGGCCAGCACCGTGGCATCCCATATGGGTGCCGGTTCCAGTCCCGGTTGTTCCACTTCCAGTTCAGCTCTCTGCTGTAGCCTGGGAGAGCAGTGGAGGATGGCCCAAGTGCTTGGGCTCCTGCACCCATGTGGGAGACTGGGAGGAGGTGCTTGGCTCCTGGCTTCAGATGGGTGCAGTTCCGGCCGTTGTGGCCATTTGGAGAGTGAACCAATGGAAGGAAGACCTTTCTCTTGTCTCTCCCTCTCACTGTCTATAACTACCTTTCAAATAAAATAAATAAAATCTTTTTTTTTAAAAAAAGAAAGAAAACCAAGGACACTGGACTTGTTTTGTAACAACCTCTCTACAATAACAAGTCATGTGCTCCAAGAGTGACAGCTCGCTCCCAGGAGCAAGGCACCAATCCCTCTTCACAATTCAGTCACTTCCTACCGACCTCACCTGGTCTCCACACTGTTACACTGGGGCCACATCTCAACATGAGTTTTGCAGGGGACAAGCCACATCCAAACCACAGCAGCACGTGTTTGCTGCCCACAGCCCCTTGTGCTGGCCTGAGCTCACGCAAGCAGGAGTGTGCACAGCTGGCGCACAGCCAGCCTTGAGGATTGCAATGAGCCCTACCCCGACCCCCGAGGCAGGTTGGAGGTATTTTCTGACCACTTTGGAGCTTCTGTAACAGATTCTCCCCTATAAGCATTTGACTATGGATCCTCTGGACGTGGTGGAGACTTGCTTCCCCAAGCAGAGCCCACGTGTCTAGGGGCAGGGAATTAGCTTCTGAGTACTGGCTGCGTTTTTTATTTCTAATAGCTAAACACAGCTAGTGACCATATGGGGTTTCTCTTCTGGCCAACAGTGGCCATGGATGTGTAGAATGGAAACGCTGCCACAGCATCCCACCACCTGGGTGGGTTGGCATCACAGCTAGAAACGCCTCAGCCTCCCGGAAGATGGCCCTGCAGTGTCAGGTGCTTGGGGGTCCACACTGGGGGCCTGGAGAGGCAGGGAAGCACTAACTCCTTATGGTTTTTATGTCCCTGATGTGTCCCAGACTGCGCAAAGACTGAGCAGAGCAGAGCAGTGCCGAGTCGGCGGTACCTAGCCAGGGCTGGGGAGGAAATAAATGCTGCTCCCTCCTTCGTCCCAAGGGGGTCTCGCCCTGGCCCTGTGGCAGCAGCATCACAGGAAACTCCCAGAGGAAGTCCCAGCTCTTGTTCCCCTGCTTCTGGTCTCC